CCAAAGAAAATCGTCAAGGAGTGACTGATCCCACTGCCTCCCCAAAAATCCAAATCCGGAGATTTCAAAAGGAAGAATGGCAGGCTAGACTTCTATTCATGACATTCCACATACCCTACGGTAATCTAATATAGCTTTGGAAGAATATAGCTTTGGAACATGCCTCGATGATTTACCTATATTATCCTATATTAAACATGATGGCTTTGGTTTTCCATATGTTAAACTGACAAAGAGTATGCATACTTACATACTGTAAGCAGCCGAATCATCAATGCAGATTGACAGCAAGCGGATGCCACACCTACACGGTCGCCAACGGGTATCCCCGACCTCCTGTGTTTCTTCGATGTAAGTCTCGAGCACGGGAGGGTCATTTAAGCAGTTCCCTTCTGGCTCGAAATGTGCCACCTGTGGAGAGGCCGTCCGCAATCAACCAATTGCTCACAATCGTCTGGGGCATGTTTCAGACACTAAAACCGTTAAAGTTAATATATAGTTAAAACAACATGTTAAAACCCTCCACTCGGGCTTAAGCACTAGCAAGTAAAGATAAGTACAGGATGATAAAGGCGCTTGGTCGTTGTGTGTGTGCTTCGCATGATGCCGCCTTGCTCAATTTGTCGATGCGTTCGCCTCAGCCCAAAAAAACGATCATGGCATGTCTTGATGACCAAAGTTAAAACAACAAATGGACTGAGGAAGTTGAACATGAGATCATGTTGTTTGCTTCCAAGTCGAAGGTAAGCGGGTGAGCTTCAAGAACTGTCTCACAGAAACCCTCGAGGTTTGCAAAAACATACAAACAATATGTAATGAGTGTAATGTCTACACAGTCTACACATCATTTGTACTAGTGTGCATTAACTATGTGCATGGTGTCCACGCATTTCACAAAATGTCCAGGGTTGCTCAATCTCTTTCCAAGCGTCGGAGTTCAGCCATCTCAGCCACGCGGAGCATGCGCTCCTGATGGTTTGTTGCAGTAAACCTGTCATCCTCGGAAATCTTCTTTAGAGCTACACCCTGCAGACACTGCTACGAAATGCTACGAATTCTTCATCCCATCCAATTCAAGTGTGTGCTCAGGCAGTTTCCATGAAACAACGCCAAAATATTGCAAAATGCGACAGTTCACCTCTATCCACCTTAAATCGTTTTGTTTGAAAAACCTGGATGAAGAAATAGAAACAAATTATCAAGTTGGATCATGACGATTCTTAAAAATAGTTTAAATATGTTTAAATAGTTTCAAGTTTCAAGAGTCCTCATTGACCTCCACTTGTCGCTCTCGTCGTTCGTTTGCAAAGTCCTGAAATGATTCAAGGCTGTCGACTACATCCTGATCATTCTGAAACACTACTGGAGTTCACGTTCACTTGATACTTGAACAGTGGATATTCTATGATATTCTAACATGAAACTGGTTCTACAACTGAACTACAACCAATTGGCATGAAACATGGCATATTCATGATATATTCATGATCCAATTGATCCAGTTTTCCCAGGCCTTTATCAGGAAACTGAAGAATTCCCAGCCTGCCACAGCCGATCCATCTGCTCGGAGTTGCGATTGATGCGGACATCGAAGTCCCCACGGTCACGCCTCAAACGGTCAACATCGGTCAACCATTGGTGACATATTGCACCGTTGAACTGGCTGATCAATATTGTGCGCATTGGTTGATCAATATGGATCAATATGGTCGATGATGGTGATGGTGACTTGATTATCCAACAAATAAATCAAGCACACTTTCTCTGCATTGTACCATACAGTTCTATGACATGGTTGATTGATGTTGATAACCTGTATTCCGTTCGTGTAAGGCTCTCGACGGAACTTACAATAAAGAACACTTGGTGATGGCCTTATAGTTGCTGTGTTTTCTACAATCCCATGAGCATACAAAAACTGGAGAATCCAAGTGCGAGACTATCAGGGATACATCACAAATCATCACAATTGCATTCATTTTAAAGAAACACGTAAAAACAAATCGTAAAAACACGAAATGACTTACAATGCCAGATGATGCTAGTTGTCTTGATATGCCTTGACTATTCTTGATTGCCGGTTCCATCCGGTTCCATTGACTGTGCAACTTCCACCCCAAGTTGAGCTGATCCCCGCTCCTCGCCATGAGAAACTCTTCTTCCAAAGCTTGAAGCTTGTCTGCGTATGAATCTGGCCGGTAAGCGGATCAACCAGTAGTCAGTATATGTCAGTATAGTATTAGAACGACATTGCATGACCTCATCGTTAACCACCACTGGGATGTGAGACTCCTGACTCCTTGTGATATCAGAGCATTGAAAATGGGGAAGAAACAATAAGAAACAATAATAAGCAACACAAACCAACATATCCAAACATAATCCTGTCCGAACTGTCCCTTTCTCACTTCTCATTGGCATTGTCCCCTCAGCCCAGCTGAAGCCTGACGGCATGGAAGTCAAGCCTGGCGGTTTCCAGCAGGCTGTACTGGAGGGGAAGGGATGGGGGGAACAGCAATCTGATCTTATTTATTCTTATTCAACGTACAGCCAAGACAGGATAGAACCGCATTGAAGGACAAGAAACGTCAAACCTGTTCACATCATCTATAGCTGACAGCGGACCCTTGAGTTCTGAAGGAAACACACACAATTAAAAAACAATGCTCACAACAGGCGCGAGTGCACATGCGCACACACACACACACTTACTTTGCTCTAGGATGATATGATGCGTAATAGGTACAGTATAGGCTTTTTGCAAGTCGCACAAGCTCTTCATGTCAAAACAAACTCTTCTTCCAGTGAAGTCAGAACTAGTGACAACAAAAACAACAACGATCTCAAGAAACATGAACACTAAGAAACACACACACACACGTTTCCTTGTGTATCCATTCAGAGCTGGACGGCTGAAAAAATCCCAGCCGATTATACAATATAACTGGTACAGTAGTAACAAACAATGTCAAGCAATGAATCATGAATGATGTTTCGATGATTCCCTCACAAGGCACCTTCACAGTCATCAGCTGATGCCTCACCTGGCCATGATTCATCCGACACACTTGAAATTTAAACGGGAAAATCATTGAACTAAGCTCAGGATTTTCCCATTGCCATGTTTCAGTACTGGATGGCAATCAAGTCCACGAAGAAACTCAACCAACCCTCAAAACACCAGAGCCAAGGGACCCATCATGTGGCTGCCAGTTATTGTACAGTCCGGAGTTTCGTTTTGAGGGAGAATGCGATACACATGATACAGTATACACGTCTAACACCCAGTAGATGCGTTTCAATTCTTTGACTCTTGACTCACTTTTCCTTTGGGACATGATGCGACTCAGTTAGCAATGATCATCAAATCCGAAAATGCGAAATACATCGAAATACCAAATCCAATCATTGAGATTCTTGCTGACGTTTCATTCATTGAGTCTCCCATGTTTACCCCAGCCTTGTCTCATCCCTGGACTCACGCTTCCAGCAGGTGACGGGCAGGGCGGCATGATCGCTTGGGCGTGCAATGAGGCCAAGGCTCCAGATATTGGAACGCCACGTTGCTATCCTAGGCTTTGGAGATGGTACGACAGTCGTTACAGTCCAAACATTCCACGGCATTCCAGGGACGTTCTTCAGAGCATCTGCTGCAATGTGACACTTTCGAAGCTGAAGGCATGATTCTTCAGCCAAAATCGCAGGATCCTGTTGTTCGGGTAATGGATGCCATAAATGAAGGATCTGCACTTTCTTGAGGCAGCTTGAACCGGTCAGGCTACAGTACATCAAAAGCGGTTGTAACTGGTGAGCGCTCCCGGACACTACTCTTGGGGAACTCCAGTTGTTGAACCATGACCTAATACCATAACAGCGTGTGCACAAAAAGCACACTACTATCATACAGGACAGGTTCAATAAAAACTCTTGCAAGGATACTAAAAGGATCTAAAAGGACCTTTTCCATTTCAAACACATTTCAAGGATTGAAGGGCACGTGTGCCAAGTGTGCCAATTTTAATATTGAATTTCAATCCGTTTGCATATCTTCCAATCTGCTGCAATCTCTATCACATTCTATGACTCTGTGGGCCTCATACTTTCACGACACTTCATATGGTTTCACACTGTCAGCTGCTGTTTGTTTTTACAAATGAACCGCAAAGAGCAAGCTGCTAGCTGCTAGCTAGCTGCTATAGCTCGCACGTCGATGGAAACGAGCGAATGGATCTGACGATTGCCGACTTCGGATGACTTCATAGTTTGCAAAGCTCTGCTGGCATTTTATCTGGCAAAACAAAACACCTCCAAATACCTAATGCATCCTAATGCATCCTAATGCTAGGACAAACAAACGACTCGTGCCCATTTCTTTGCAGCATGTCAACCAAAGCAGTTGAATACATGATAACACACACACACACATTTTTTCTGGAATGTCTGGTGAACTCCCTTGACAAAGTAAACAGCAAGTACTCTGCATGTCTTGCAAACTGATGCAAACTGTGATCCAGCATAGTTTTCTGCAAACATCATGCAAATTCGTGGTTTAACCAGCGAGATCATGCTTTCCCAAAATCAAGTAGTCAGCAATGATTTGACTTTGAGACAGGTCTTCTGGTCAGCAATGTAAATGTTCTTTACTCTAGAAATCTCAGGCTTTAAGGAGGTCTTCTCGCTTCATGATTCATGGCAAGTACTGTATGATCATCCTTTCTCTGGTCCCTCAAAAGGGATTTGAACCTCTGTAACATGGAGAATCAGTGGAACAAATGCTGGGCCTTGAAGCACTCCAACTCCTAAGCCTTGAAGTGAATGAAGCTGCATGCCAACCCTAGGCCCTATCTCTGCACCAGTCTTAGCTGCCAAACAACATTCAAATTTGATAGATTGAAAATAGAGGAAAATAGAGGATAGGAGATGTAAAGGGCCTACACTCACTCCTCTATAATTTATTCACAAATTTCATATGATTTTTGTATATTTCTGTGACATGTTCTGCTCCGGCTAGACCTGGCATGACCTTGCTGGTTCTGTAGGGGCGGAAAGAGCTCGTGTCCTCCACCCGTGTTCACCCATGGCTTCCAGCGGTCCCTTGGGGATGGCCGAGTGGAAGGCTACAGCTGCCGCAGCTACCTGCAACGCATTGCATGGTCTGACAAGTGACCTCCACAACAAGATCCGACAAGTGACGTGTCTAACAGATTCTAACAGTCTAAGAAGATTAACAAGTGGATTTGAAACCTCATGAAACCTCTTATCTTTCGCATTGCATCCCACCCAGCAAACGAACCCGCCTAGTCGTCGTGGCATGCCAGGTGCAACAGGTTGAGGGCAGAAGGATTCCTGAGCTGACTCGTCACTGGCCCAAGGTCTGACTTGTGGCCCACTGAAGAATTCATTAAATTCGAATCGCTGTGCTGATTGTAAACTCATGGGCCTTCGAATCATTCAGCCTCCTAAAATTAAATCATATTGAATCCATCAGAAACAAATAAAGGTTTCAAAAACACTAGAGGCGAAGAAAGGTGTTCATCCCTTTTATCCAGGCGATGCTCTCCGCATCTGAGGAAAACCCATAGGAGCACCGACAATCAGCACTATCCCACGAACTGCTTGCTGGATCCAGGGGAAAGGATACCTCCGCCTGAGTTAATTTGCATCAAGACTCTGCAGGCACTTGTGTCATCACCTTAGGCCAACAAACAAGGGGAGCAACAGTTGCAACCGACTGCACTACAAGAACATACAAGAAAATCAAGAAACACTGCATTCCTGGAAGTTGCAGAAAAAATATAGAACATCTTACCTTTTCTCAAAACAACCAATCAAAGTGAAAGCATGTGAAAACGCAAAGCTCAAGTCAACTATTTCTGCCTGTACATTCATCGAAACTGAACAAGAAACCGTTTGGATCTATCTGAAAGCTTCTGCTGTGTAAGGAATTGCAAGGATTGCTGTTGCAAAGCGCAATCTTTGCATTTTCCATTTCAAGCTACTGCAGGTGAAGGTGTCCGCATCCGATTCAGAGGAGCTTGCGCCGGATTCACCATGCGGCGATCCACCATGTGAGGAGGGCCAGGGCTCCTGCAAGAACTGAGTGCAACCAGGAACAACAAGGGTTCCTTGCCATTCCTTGCCATTCCTTGCCATTCCTTGCCATTCCTTGCCGCTAGCCTAGTGGATGAGTGGATGAATCTTTGGGAGCAAAATCAAGAAACTCAACTTAGCATATATAATTAATCTGATTCTCAATATCTCTGAAAATGCCATGGCAGTGTGCAAAAACTCCTTGGTATCCGGAAGACTTAGAAGGATAGGCTCTGTGTCCGGATGGGTGGAACATGGTGAAAGGCTCCCCCTATAGCACCATTTTTTTGGAGACACCCTGGACCAAAACACAATGTCATTTACTTTGTTTTTGCAGTACAGAAACCCGCGAACATTTGGGTAACACATGAAAAAACATGAATGATACACACATTCAATCCAAAACCATTTGGAAGCATCCTTTCATTTCATATGCCTGTTTCAAGATGTTGATGCATCCCTCAACTGAGCATAAGACTCTGCAGGCACTTGTGTCATCACCTTAGGCCAACAAACAAGGGGAGCAACAGTTGCAACCGACTGCACTACAAGAACATACAAGAAAATACAAGAAACACTGCATTCCTGGAAGTTGCAGAAAGAATATAGAACGTCTTACCTTTTCTCAAAACAACCAATCAAAGTGAAAGCATGTGAAAACGCAAAGCTCAAGTCAACTATTTCTGCCTGTACATTCATCGAAACTGAACAAGAAACCGTTTGGATCTATCTGAAAGCTTCTGCTGTGTAAGGAATTGCAAGGATTGCTGTTGCAAAACGCAATCTTTGCATTTTCCATTTCAAGCTACTGCAGGTGAAGGTGTCCGCATCCGATTCAGAGGAGCTTGCGCCGGATTCACCATGCGGCGATCCACCATGTGAGGAGGGCCAGGGCTCCTGCAAGAACTGAGTGCAACCAGGAACAACAAGGGTTCCTTGCCATTCCTTGCCATTCCTTGCCGCTAGCCTAGTGGATGAGTGGATGAATCTTTGGGAGCAAAATCAAGAAACTCAACTTAGCATATATAATTAATCTGATTCTCAATATCTCTGAAAATGCCATGGCAGTGTGCAAAAACTCCTTGGTATCCGGAAGACTTAGAAGGATAGGCTCTGTGTCCGGATGGGTGGAACATGGTGAAAGGCTCCCCCTATAGCACCAATTTTTTGGAGACACCCTGGACCAAAACACAATGTCATTTACTTTGTTTTTGCAGTACAGAAACCCGCGAACATTTGGGTAAAACATGAGAAAACATGAATGATACACACATTCAATCCAAAACCATTTGGAAGCATCCTTCTCATTCTCAATCAAGTGAATTTAATGCAGCCCTACGTAGCCGAGGGCGAATCCACTCCATAGTGATTTCCTGATCGTTGTTTTTTCATTGCAGTCTATGTGAAATAATATGAACTACAGTTGTATGGCAGTTAATGCAGTTGGCATGAGACTGAGATAAATTGGACATAAACTATATTAACTATATAATCTAAGGATATCGAGAAAAGTCTAAACCATTACGAACTACTGAAACTGCTCCACTCGCCATGGTCCTGCAGCTGCAGTCCACACCACGAGTCATAACTGGAGGGGACGCCATGACACGTGTCATGCCTCAGGGCCGAAGAGGCAGAACAGCTTTCGAGCTTTGCATCAGCTTTGCATTTCTTTTCCTTTCTCTTGTAAGAGGCTCTAGATATTAAATTAATAAATGATACCAATAGAGACTCAATGTTTGGGTTTTCTCCTTTTTCCTCTTCTCTTTCTTGTTCTTCTTTTTCTCCTCTCCTCTTCTTCTTGGTCTTCAGTGAGACACTTTTCATCGGAATTCACTGTGTGAACATTGCGTGAACACTTAGTTCCATGGCAAGGGCCTGAAATCATACAGGTGGATGATTCTTACGTTAATATGCGGATCTCGAGGCCTTGTCTCACAGGTTCAACATTTTGTGAGCCCTCCCCTTCTTTAATTTAAGTTCGCTTTGAAGAAGAAAAACATTAGAACTTGAATTGAGACATATAAAGGAGTTGAAGACTCCAACGCAACATAGTTGACAGAGCAGGGTTTTGGGCTGAGAAAGTGGTCCCCTCTGAGGCGGTTCAATTGACTGTTTAGTGCAACGGACATCAAAAGCATTCCTTACTTCCAGCGGGCAAGACCTCTTGAAAAACGGGAGATCCAAGCTGCTGGTTTCCATATTCTTTTCTACGTTCACCATCTTTGGGCGTCCATCCTGCTTTAGCGCTGTTCCTCGCAAGGGCATTTGGAGGCGGTCAGCCCACCAATGGCTCCTTATGCTTACAGTAACCAGAACAAAAGTTAGGTCAAGAAACACAAACTCATCACTTGCTCCAGGCCCTTCTACCGACCAGTGGCAGAATGGTTCTAACGGATTTTGTGTTGGGCAAACCCTGTCTGGGCATGTCCGGGCCATTCCGGGCCTAGATCCTGCAGCACTGGCAGCAGGTGTTCAATGCATTTGCTGTCCTTAGCACGTAGTTCAATTAGCAATCTCACAGCAAACCCTGGGGATCCGGCGTGGGTGTCAAGCTCCGGCCATTGCCAAGTGGTTTCACAGAGCCATTTCGCGCAAGTCTTCTGGAGCTCAGGAAGATCAGTATCCGGATGTATCCGGTATCACAACATGCTGTCGGGGTTCGAAACATGTTATCATGTTTGGCCGGACAACCAATATCTTGCACAATTGTGATTGGATCCCTGTCAGTACCACCAAAGTACCGTCGAAAATCACGCTAACAACTTGCACTAGTTTGTGAGGATTCCGCAAATCATCTTGGAACTTCAAATTTTGAGAAATGCATTTGTCATGATATACAATAGCGAGCCTTTATTCCATCTGGCAATACGTGAAAACATCAAGGCTACAAAACCGATTTGTCCCCAGCCCTAGCTTCCTTAAATGCATGACCCAAAACATTGGCAAACTTTGGCAAGGTACAAGTTTGTTGATCAAGGCTTGTAGTTTGTTGCGAAGTGACCTTGGTTCAGAAAGCCGAGTTTGACTGTGGTCAGTTGCATGCGGGGGCGAAAGTTTTAGAAGTCGAGACCGAAGCTCTTTGCCAGTCACTGGGTCTCTGTGCTCTTCCACAACATTCAGCTTCTGCTGCAGGTGGTCCAAGGCCATAGCCTGGCCATGGATCACAACTCGCTAGCCATCTTAGATGGAATGCCATGCAAACAATTCTGGAAAATGACTGACACAATACCAATCAATACCATGACATTCACTTCCATGATTCAACACCTGGAATAAAGTGTGGCGCATGAATTGACATCATCTGATCTAGTGATGACGTTGGAGGCTTCCCATCGCTGCACAATGAGCACGACATCGACGCCAGACTTGTCCAGCTCTCCAGCCCACTCCGGCCTGCGTTTTGATGGCAGCATCTGTAGCAGCCATCTTCTCCTGACGAAGGAGTTTTTGCGGCTGAACATATTGAAATATATTGAAAATTGATCAAATTCAAACAACACCTCAATCCTGAAACACCAAAACACCAAAATAACTTGTGGCTCCACCGAAACCCGAAAGGATCCGAGGGCAAATCCTGGCACAACTTCTCGGCTGCCCTCGTCGCCTCCTGAACTCCACCCTGGCAAACATGCACAGCCCAAGTTCAAATTGTTATAATTTGTTATACGTATCAGTTTGATCAAGGTGATCAAGTCTCAATATGTTTGAACATGTTTGAGCTATCTTCAATACTGTAAGTGAAACACAATGAAGCTATGGCAGCTATGGTACTCAAAATGAAATCCAATTCTCAGGGGTCACATCTCCCAAGTTCATTGTGTGCCTGTGCTTTGCCTTGCAGATTCTGCCACAGTGCTTCGATATCATGGCCCAGTTGGAGCACTGCCTGTGCCAAACATGATTCTGAACGGGGTGATTGGCACCCACCAAGGACCCACCAGTGACCAATCCATCATCGACAACTCACCAGTAACTCATTAACCACACCATCCACAGCGCCTGCTGCAAACCGGTGGATGGATTCTTTGTCTCCAGTTCGCCCACCGCAGCTCTGGCCTCCGTACGAGCCTGGCGGGGCCATCCAAAAGGCATCAAAATGCAGAATGCTGGGAATCGTCAAACTTGGCACTTTTAATCAGTTTTCTGGCTGTGGCTATGGAGCTCTCACGGGCCCTCTTTGAATCTGTGCCTCTGCAACAGCTTGGGCCACAATGCTCCGCTCAAATTCCTGAGCTGCATCCAACCAAAGCCAACGACAAGTTCCGTCCAACGGGCGCCCATTTTGAAAAGTTCCTGTTCGAAATGTTCGAAATCAAAAGCCTGTCCTGCGTCAAGGCCTTCGTCAGAGTTGTGGAACGTTCAATAGTACGTGCTCGCTCCTCCTTGGAAGTCCCAGACTTTCAGAAACAATTCGGAACAACATCTGCTGAGCTTAAATTGGACGAAGCCTAGGATTACACAGCCAAATAACGACAAACAACATGTTATATCATGTTATATCATGTTATATCATGTTAAATCATGTTATATCATGTTATAAAAATTCGCAAATGATATTCGAATGCCTTCATTTAAAATCGATTGAAACCACGTCCCAAAACCTTCAGTTGGTGCCTCCAGCGTGCCGCTCCATTCCACGCGCAAGCGGTCCATCTTCTCTCGCACGTAGTCCTTCAAAGGGGTCCAATTCAGTGACGGGGTGCGAACCCACATGTATACATTGCAATTCCCCGATATACTAGAATACTACACTGCAAATGCTGAGATATGTTTTTTCTATCTGCAAGAAACATTGGAAAACCCAATTTCAATTATGTCATGATATTTCATACAAGAATCAGAACGAAGATCCACTTCAAATATGTACGAGTACATGTTTAACTGCTTTCATTGGGCAATCAGGAAATGGTTTGAAGTATTTATTTTGACCCTCAAACTACACTGCAGCAAACCAAACTATATACTGATACTGTAATACGTTCCATCTAGAAATCAGATTATTTTCACAATCATCAATGTAGAGACAAGGTCACAAGGTGCAAATTTCAGTGTTTCTGCAACCCCCAGTGTTTGTCATTTTTGGCCCGACCTGCCCCCCCTCGTGCCCGAGGCCCAGTGCTTGTATGGGTGACTTCTATGGCATCGGGTGACTTTGGACTGCACACACTTAATTTCACAAGATTCCTACAAGAGTGTTGACATGATCACCCATCACCACTGACTACCCATTAAAAAAAAAAACAATCCAATCATGCCAGAGTGTTTCCAATTCTCCAAACAGGTCCACAAACCAAAAAAACAAAATGGAACCCAGACCCTTGGTCTGTTTTATTTGAATCTTATCCGAAATCCTCTGTTTTTTGGTCATCTGGGAATCTGGTGCGCCTGAACTTTGTCGAAACTTGTCGCCTCACCTCCCTCATTGACCTGCCAAAATTTGCAATAGCATTGCAAACAAAACGCAAGTCGAATAAACAGCCCCACCATCGTGTTGGATCTGGTTAGTAAGTCTTGTTGGCAAAACTTTACCGCTGTCTAAACCAACAGCGAACTCTTCGCCAAAATTCACAACAGGTGTCTTTCCCAAAATCCCAACCAAGACCCCAGAGACATTTAAGACGTCTCAACACACTGCGAGGCACTTCCCCTGCCATTTTCCCCCAAATAATGCCTCAATATATATATATATATATATATTATATTATATAACATTATATAACTACTACAATCATCTACAATCTACTACAACTTTTTGCTGTAAACTTTGATTCAGTTTCAATGCAAATCAGGAAACATTTGTGCAACGCACAAAACACATGCTGGGATGCCACAGTGCCACTACACCAACAACATTTCTCAGTGCTGCAGTGTCATGTGTCCAAATAAATTTGCTTGCAATTCAACGTGCCATGGGCAGCTGCCTCATGACCTGCCTTGACATCGGCACATTGCAGCGCGGCTACGTCTTCTTTCAGCTGCATTGATTGCCTGGCTTGCAGCCTCATTGTTCATGTTCAACCAGGAGAAACACAGTCAGGTAGCATCGAACATTTGAAATATCAATGTGGCTGAATGTCACTTGAAAAAAAATACCATCTCACACCATGCAAACATTCCATGGAGTTCCAATGAATTTTCCATGGAATTTTCCGAGCGATGAAGGCAATCATGCAGAATCCCCAAGGTTGTGACTCCACATTGGACGTGAGCAGGTCCATGTTGGAACTGACCAGGTCCAAGCGCTCCTGGCACCCAGCACCAATCAGGTTGCAAACATCACTTACATTATAAATGAAAAAGTATTGCATATGTACCAGAACCACAATAATATGTTTTACATGTTAAGTTGCTTAGTGTTTGGGTTCGGTGCACAAGTGTAAATTAAATCGCGGAGCTTTGGTGATGGCATCTTCCAGCTTGGCTTTCGCCCGGCTTTCGGCACCCTCGTTTTACTTTCGAGTCAGCATACCCTGGTGTTCGATGATTTTTGGTCTGAGCCGTGGTGTCCTCAAAGGCGCGAGTGGCTTTCTGGAGCTGCATCAAGTCTGTATCATTTGTCCTGGGCCAAGCTTCCACAAAAACACACCTCCCCACAGCAATGGAGGCCAAGAGCGGAGCCTAGCCATTGATGAGAAACTTACAGATCTTGCAGCCGAGTAATGCTAAAAAAATGGCCAAGGCACGATGTGACCTCAGGTTTGTCGCCCGCCTCAGCTGTTCATCCTTTTCAGGAGCAACTCACAGAGTCTGAGCAACACAGCAACACAACTACCTCATGGCCATCTCAATGAAAGGTAACATCTGTATCTCATATCACTTTCATATCTTGTATATATATATATATATTATATATATATGTATATATATATATATATATTTGTATATTTCTTATATCATCAAACATCAGCAATGGGTGCACCATGATCACCATGGTCCACCCAATCCCAATCCAACCATCCCAACAAACCAAGGCACGGCAGCGCGGCTAGACTTCTCCAGCTCCAACAGACGGCCGTCCATGGATTTGCTGAGCTCATCCAACCTGACATCATCCCATGGGTCAGGGGGGTCCCCTAGACTAGAGACCCCTGTTGAACATCAACAACTGGGATGGACATGGATGTTCATCCCCCCAAATATGGTATTGCTATAACCACTGGATGTAACTGGACTGAAAGAAGGGAAATAATATGAAATAATTGACACTCAAGCCCTACCCAAAGGTGGTTTTGCCCCACAGTGCGAAAGCGAAATCTTTGAACCCCGCATCTGAGTCAAAGGCTTCTGCGCAATTTCTTGAGGGTCGTTCTTGAAGATGTGACTTTGCTTCAAGGACCTCTGGAGAAACAGAGATGGGAATGAATGAGAATGATATGGCATGACACTTTTCTCCAACCAATACATTTCCACTTTAAATCAAGGACAAGTAAACATGCCAATCAATCCCTTTAAAGCCCGGTTTGACCCAAAAGAAACCTATGGAAACCCGGTTGTGCTAATCTCTGATCCGACATGGTTCTGAGGGCAGGGCAAACGCACGTCACCAATAGATTTGTCGACTTCTGATTTCACGCACCTTATCACCGGAAGTGGGTTTTTGCAATAGCTGTTGTAATATTTAATGGGAGTTCTGTCTATGCATTCACGATAGCTTCCACAATTCAAGAGGACTCTCTTTGCTTTGCTTCAATGTTTCTGAGGAAAGGATGGAAGAAGCCAGGGTTTTGATTCTGAGAAGTACGACCAGACACAATTTTTGCATCCTCATTGTATATTTCCCAGCAATCTCCAGTACAGTGTGGAGGAAGAGAATGAGTTGAGTCATTCTATGTCGATCGGAAGTTGATCCACTGCCTTTTCGAGTCCGCCAAAGGTCCAGTGTATCTCCAATCCTCAAAAATATGTATATATATAATCATATATATATATATAACTACATATATGTGCCTCCACCAGTTTTAAATAAGAACGGTTGGTAAAATTAAGCCCTGGCAAACGCCTCATGAGAACACGATGTGAACAGAATTTCACTCGCGGTGACCTTTCCAATTCACAAGGCTCAGAAGTATCCAACGAACATTATCAGCCTGGTCAGCAAATAGTTGATTTTACTGACTGATTGATCTAGTCTATGTCTTATCTTATAATATCTTATATATAATATCTTATAATCTTATTCAATTTGCTGCTCAGCCCTTGCAGTGATGCGCACTCTTCGGATATCTTCAGATCGACATCTCAGGCACTCCTCCAAATTCTCCTGCACCGAGCGCAAAGCCATAGACCTGCTGGGATTTGGCATCGACTTTGGCTCTCCCGTTCCCGCTTTTTTCCAAGCCTTTTTTCGACAGGCTTTGATGATCTATTACATACAGCATCACATACAGTAGAAACTCAGTGGAGCTGGATGAGAGGGAATAGGTGGAGTAGACTATTGAAGTACATTGAAGTTATAAGGAAATTATATGAAATTATGGGAGAATTTGAATTTGAGCGCAAAACGGTACAGTAACTGAGCGCACAATGACCAAACCTGGAACGTGGCTGTCACCTCTGACATCTTCCGACACCCGGTGCCTCACTGTTTCGATGCTGGCACGCAAGGCGGTAATATCAACCTGCGACGCCAAGTCTTTGGACCTTTAGGACCTCCTCCTCAAAAACATAACACACCAAATTCATACAAAATTCATCCAAATTTCACCAAATCCAATTGGTTTGCCAATAAACATTGTCAAATTTGTCAAGCTCGATGTCATGTGGTGACTTTCCAGGAAATTATCAAAGTCAAAGTTCAATTTTCAAAGGCACCTCCAGCCCCTACTCAGAATCCTTGTGTTGGTGGCCAAATGTGCCAACCCTCGGGCTTTCCGCAGTCCCTATGCCGCCTGCCGTTGCATGCGCTCTTCCACCAACTGCTCACGCAGCACATCCAGCTGTTCAGAAATGCTAACACCTGGGTTATCTGAGGGTGAAGGAGCTAAGGAGTCTGGGATGTAAATTCAAATCATGTACGATTGCTTCACTGATGTTCACTGGGCTTGTGTATGCCAGAAGATGAGATACCTATAACATCCAATGACGAAACTATATTATTCAAGAATATTATATAATAATACTATATATATATATGTATATAATATGTATTAACAATATGATACAATATCATACAAGAATTAATCTGGATAACATCTCAGCAAAAACACAGCAGCAAATTCATTGTTCAGCAAGTGGCCTACCAAACTATTGAGATGTTGCGTCAAGCGCTGCTCCGTCTCACAACGCAAGCGCTGCTCCGCCGCAACCTGCTCCTCCACCCGGGAGATCCGAGCATAGAGCCTGGGAAAGGCGAGATAGTCTGATCAGAATCTGGGGATGTCGGGTTTCCAAGTGGTTCCATCCAGTGTGCACCAGTGGAGTCATGTTTACATATTAATACATATTAATCATATTATTCAATTGTTATTCACTATACTCTACATTCTACACAGTACACCAAATATCAAACAGCCATCAAACATCATCAAGCCTCCATCTTAAATGTTATGTAACGGTTTTCTCACCGTTGAACCTACCAGGGTCTGTTGATGTTCGGCCCGACGACTGGAGGCTGAGCTCCGCACAAGTCCGCTCCAGCCACTGGCAAATGAGGCGAAGCCAAACCTATCACAGGGCCACGGTGGACTGAAATGGACGACATCGAATATCCAGGATATTTCCAGATTGGCATGGGAGTCATAAAAGAAGTCATTACATCATTTAAGTAAATTCAGGTGCTATCCCCAACAGCTTGAAAGCTTCTGCGTTTTTGCCATGAAAAAGTGCTTATGCATGCTTATGCCATAAACATTAAGCGCTTATGCATGCTTATGCCCCAAAAAAATGCGTATGCAATCAAAAAAAGCGGAACCCTTTGGAATTTCACAAAGCATCTGCACCAGAACCCTCCGCAACCTCACAAGGTATCTGCACCAGAACCTTCCGGAACCTCACAAGGTATCGGCCCCGGAACCCTCCGGAACCTCCACGCATCTTCACCTAGACCCTCCGGAACCTCATCAGGTAGCTGCACCGAAAACTTCCGGAACCTCACCAGGTACCTGCACCAAAACCCTCTAGAACCTAACCAAGTATCTGCACCGGAAACTTCCGGAACCTCACAAAGTATCTGCACTGGAACCCTCCGGAACCTCACAAGGTATCTGCACCGGAACCCTCCGGAACCTCACAAGGTATCTGCACCAGAACCTTCCGGAACCTCACAAGGTATCGGCCCCGGAACCCTCCGGAACCTCACCACGCATCTTCACCTGGACCCTCCGGAACCTCATCAGGTAGCTGCACCGAAAACTTCCGGAACCTCACCAGGTACCTGCACCAAAACCCTCTAGAACCTAACCAAGTATCTGCACCGGAAACTTCCGGAACCTCACAAAGTATCTGCACTGGAACCCTCCGGAACCTCACAAGGTATCTGCACCGGAACCCTCCGGAACCTCACAAGGTATCTGCACCGGAACCCTCCGGAACCTCACAAGGTATATTCTTCACCGGAACGCTCCGGAACCTCACGAGGTATCTGCACTGGAACCCTCCGGAACCTCACGAGGTATCTGCACCAGAACCCTTCGGAACCTTTTCCGGAACCTGGCTGGTGTTGAAGCTGCACCGGATCGCACCGGAGCTAATCTGGGCTAAAGACCCCATAGCAAAGTTTTGCTGTTGGGGAAAAATATCAAAACATAATATATATTAATATATGAACAGGTACACAGTATCAACTTGCACCATGCAATGGATTTTCTATACCTGTGGGTTACCAGTGTAATTGTCCAAATTAAATATGATCTCAACATATTTCGACCCATTCTCTGCCAATCTCACATCAATCTCCGAGCTGGGCAATTTCGACCCATAGCCCATCGCATCTTTTGCCTGAATTCTCTGGCGTTGAACTGCGCAGAGCTGATCCACTCCTCAAAAATAAAACCGACTGTGTAAGAAATTCATAGAAATTCCAGGTTCAATGAAGTTTGCAAAGTTCATTTGTTTTTCCGAAAAATTGAAAAAGTACGCCAAACAAATCTGTGGTCATTTGCAGATTGGAGGTTTCTTTCACAAGGTTTGACAGTACATGATCCAGCTGTGAGTAGAGTAGAGATCTTCATGCAGGAAGAACAAGAAACGACATGTTTCTCCATGTTTCTCCCACCTTCCTTGATGCAGTGACTGCACATTTTCAAACGTCCCGTGAGTGCTGCAAACATTGACCCTGAGGCCCTGAGGTGCCCTTTCCACTTTGGTCAAGTTGCTTCAATGCGCTGCCTACTGGTGCACTGGTTAGCAAATTTGGAGTGCTGCTCCTTCAGCGCAGGTGAAATGTAGGAGTCAAACAGTCAAACCCCAAATCTCGACACAAGTCGAAGGAAATTACAGTCTTAGAATCCTTTGACATGTGTTTGTTTGTATCCTTCGATCATTTGCAGTACAAGTATATTATATAGTCAATGTCATGGCATGTCCTTCGCCACTGAACTGTTGGTTAGAAAAGAACCATTCAGCTAGAATCAGCTAGAAACCTGTCAATTTGATAATGTGTTGATATCTTAAAGTGATTGAAAGAGTGGGCCGGCTGTAATTGATATGGTGTAATACACTGAGGAATAATTACACGGTATCAAACAGGCAGTTGTTGCAAGCTTCACATCGTAAGGCCCGGTCGGTGTCTTGGGTATTCTTGCACTCTTCCACACATCTTCGCTTGAGCTTCTCGGCATGGACGGACTCTGCCTGTCCGCTGACGTAGATATTCAAATAAATCCAAAGAAGGATGCAATCACGATGGGTTAACAGTTGTCAGTTGACAGTTGTCTAAATATTAAAGTGATGTGGGTAGGGCCCAAGCAAACAGCGCCCCGGTCTCCCAACATGGTTCAATGATCGCCTTTCAACATCGGAATCAAAAACCCGATCGCCCAAGCAGTTCATGAAACTCCTTGGTGGAGCCACGATAGCGACGCACAGAAAATCCGTTAGCACTCTCAACTTTAGGCCGATGAGAGTATAGTAATCATGGATTCAGCGTAAAATACTCTTAAATTATTATCCCGGCAAGAGACCCCAAACAGTGTGGAGGGCGTGAAAAGATCACGTATTATAATGTTGATGGTGATCATGATGATGATGGTGATGTTGATGATGATGATGATGATGATGAGGATGATGATGGTAATGATGATGGCGATGATAATGATCACGATGATGGTGATGATGATGATGATGATGATGATGATGATGGTGTTGATGCTGGTAAGAGCGACGACGACGACGACGACGACGGCGATGATGATGTTGATGCTGACGATAGCGACGATGATGATGATGGTGATGATGATGTTGATGTGATGATGATGCTGATGATGGTGATGATGATGATGGTGATGGTGAGAGGAAGATGATGATGTGGATGTTGAGGAGGAGGAAGATGATGAAGTTGAGGAGGATGATATTGAGGAGGAAGACAGATCCCAAGACCGGGAAGCACACTTTGCGCCAGCCTGCGCAGTCGAAATTCACAGAGACATTGCACAAGAGGCATTTTGTGCGGGAATTTTCGGGGAAAATGCCAAACGCTAATCCCGGCTCCAGCATTTTGTGCGAGCCTGCGCAGTCGAAATGCACATGGGCTGTCACAAGAGGAATTTTGCGGAGACATTTACAGGAAAATGCCGCACGCGTCGCCCACGGACATCGTTTTGTGTGAGCTTGCGCAATCGAAATGCACATGGACATGTCACAAGAGGCATTTTGTGCGGAAATTTAGAGGGAAAATGCCGGACGCTAATCCCGGGGCCAGCATTTTGTGGACATGTCACAAGAGACATTTTGTGCGGAAATTTACCCGGAAAACGCCGGACGCTTCCAATACCACCTCGATTGAACACCGGGCCTTATATAACTGTTACAGTAAGAACCCCTTCAGTGTGGCCACACTGTTTGGGGAAAACCTCAAATCACTCCCACATTTTTCATGGTAAATCAGAATTGTGCATTAACTCCAAGTCAATGATCACACAAAATACACAAACTGCTCCAACATAATCACAAAAAAAATACTACGGAATACTATGGACTTGTTACTACTGTATGTATGAACATGATGAAATGAACAATTCTGAAGGCGATGAAGTCCGTGCAAACTACTGTACCCTGCAGTAAGTTTGATAACCCTTGACCATTCTCGATAAAGAAACCGTTGTCAATGGTTGATGCTTGGGCTCTTCAGGGTCAAAAGCCCTGTCTTGTTGGAGTCCATCGAGCGGAAGAAAGCACTGGCATCCTGGTGACAACGATGGCAACCAGTGACTTCATGAGACTTCTGTGAAACTCACAGCCACGGTCCTCTGTGTAGCCCAAACGGTGCAAGCCCTGAAGCAGTTTGCGAAAACCATGATTATACATATATAATCATATATAGTTTGATGGAGAACTTCTGAAAATATCATCAACTTACATTCAAAGAGTATACTACTGCATCTCATCCAGCGAGAAAAAAACTTGCAAACAGCAAACACACTTCCGACGCTGCAAACCCAAACATTTTTCACATGCACCTCCCAGAGTACTGGAATCCATTGGAACTTATTCACAACTTCTCCCTCACCATTGCCACTAGTCATACTAGTCCGTGGGCCTTTACAAAGTCGTCACTGGTGAGTTGTCCGACATCATGGCTATCAAGCTCCGCAAAGGCTCCCTGCAACTGGGTCGAATGAGCTGGAGGATTTGCCGGCCACGTAATGAAGTTCTGTAATACTCCTTCAAGACATTTCAAGACTCCCTCCGTTAAGATCGTAATAGATCGTATTTATTGCATACGCATTAAACCGGAAAAAATTGAAAATTACTTTACTTCGTGTGATCCCCACCATGACATTTATACATTTTCTTACTGGCAAATTTTCTGGCATTCTATCTGACATATCTTCTGACATTCTATTTGGCATTCTATCTGGCATATCTTCTGGCATATGATCTGGCATATCTTCTGGCATTCTATCTGGCATATCTTCTGGCATTATTCTTCTGGCATATCTTCTGGCATATCTTCTGGCATTCTATCTGGCATATCTTCTGGCATTCTATCTGGCATATCTTCTGGCTTATCTTCTGGCATATCTTCTGCATAGTTATCGGGCATTCTATCCGGGCATATCTTCATGTATATATTCTGACATATCTTCTGGCATTCTATCTGGCATTCTATTTGGCATTCTATCTGGCATATCTTCTGGCATATCTTCTGACGTTCTTTCTGACATTCTTTCTAACTTTCTTCTGCGCATTCTTTGTCCCATATCTTCCTACATGAGGTCCGGCAGGGAACACTTGGCGTGGATACTCGCGGTTGAGGTCCGGCAGGGAATACTGGGCGTGGATGGTCGTGGTTGAGGTCCGGCAGGGAACACTGGGCGGGGATGGTCGTGGTTGAGGTCCGGCAGGGAACACTGGGCGTGGATGGTCGTGGTTGAGGTCCGGCAGGGAACATTGGGCGTGGATGGTCGTGGTTGAGGTCCGGCAGGGAACACTGGGCGTGGGTGGTCGTGGTTGAGGTCCGGCAGAGAACACTGTGGATCGCGGATCGCAGTTGAGCAAGGACGACGAGGACGACAAGGACGAGAAGGATGACAAGGAGGACGAGGAGGAGGAGGACGAGGCAGGAGGAGGCGGAGGAGGCGGAGGAGGAGGAGGAGAAGGAGGAGGAGGAGAAGGAGGAGGCAACTGACATAAAATCTAACAACCCTCACCTGGCAGGTGGGGAACAATGGAAAACACGGAAACAGATTGAAAACGCTACAAAGGTCCATTCCATTGATTTCATTGATCAATGGATAAATTTATTCCAAAAATCACAGCAATGCTGGCAATGCTACAGTGATCAGAACCGCGAATACTTGGCTGAAATGAAACCTCAGAAAAAAATGTCCACTGATCCACCTTGAGGCTTCCACATCGGCC